TTTATTTTTGAACGCACTGGACTGTGACGTAAAACAAAAAGAATTTTTAAAAATTATTGACGCTTCATGATTTTTAGTAAAATTGTACTAAACAATTGGTAGATTGTTGTTTTTTATCCTATATAATTCGTGCATTTCATAGGATTGCACTGAAGTATGATGAGTAAAAAAAAAAGGTTTTCAAGCTGTCAAGTCGTTATTAGTGGCTCGGCAGCTAGCGAAACCGAAAGTCTTTTATAAACCGGATACAAAACAATAACGGTGGACAACGAGGTTAGCTGAATAAGCCCAGAATAAAAATATCCGATCGCTTCCGGGCCCATTGGCTAAGATCAGGATGTAGTGTCTGTTCTTAATTTATCCCTCCGGGTTACCCAACCTGGTGGAATGAACATGATTACCATCTGGTTTTCAGCCTAGGTCAGGACGATTAATAACAAAAGAACAAATGAAAATGAGAGACCCCGAGCCCCTAAGTCACTTAAGTCCCTTAAGTGAAGTCTGATCGCTCCTGGACCCGTTGGCTAAGATCAGGATGTAGTGTCTGTTAATTATTACCCCGCCACCCAAACTGGTGGAATAAACATGATTACTCGCTTGGTTCTTCAGCCTGGGTCCAGATGATCGGTTAGAGAAGAGATAATGAGAGATCCACAAGTCTGATTGCTTCTCGGCCCGATGGCTAAGGTCAGGATGAAGTGTCTGTTCTTATCCCGCCGGGTTACCCAACCTGGTGGAATGAACATGATTACCCGCTTGGTTCTTCAGCCTGGGTCGAGACGATCGGTAAAAAAAGAACAAATAAGAGCCCCACAAGTCCTGATTGCTTCTCGGCCCGTTGGCTAAGGTCAGGATGTAGTGTCTGTTCATATCCCGCCGGGGTACCCAACCTGGTGGAATGAACATGATTACCCGCTTGGTTCTTCAGCCTGGGTCGAGACGATCGGTAAAAAAAGAACAAATAAGAGCCCCACGAGTCCTGATTGCTTCTCGGCCCGTTGGCTAAGGTCAGGATGTAGTGTCTGTTCTTATCCCGCCGGGTTACCCAACTTGGTGGAATGAACATGATTACCCACTTGATTCTTCAGCCTGGGTCGAGACCATCGGTAAAAAAAGAACTAATAAGACGATCAGTAAGAAGAGAACAAACAAGAGCTAGCCCCCCCCCTTTTGCAGTACTTCTGGGAGAAACCTTACAAATAAAGGTGGCTAACCTGTTTTTCCAAAAAAAGCTACAGCAGTGGCGAAGGTGAGTGAAAAGTAAAATTTGCCGCACTAAATAATATAAACCATGAAATACTAATACTACTAACTAAGCTCTTAAGTTGAATCAAATTTTAAACAAACTTCTATGTGTAATTTAATATTCCTTTTTTTTCCATAAACAACCTGCAAAACTGTTGGCAATTGTTGGTTCAGTTCTTGTACTCAAGGCAATTGTTGGTTCAGTTCTTGTACTCAAGGCAATTGTTGGTTCAGTTCTTGTACTCAAGGCAATTGTTGGTTCAGTTCTTGTACTCAAGGCAATTGTTGGTTCAGTTCTTGTACTCAAGGCAATTGTTGGTTCAGTTCTTGTACTTAAGGCAATTGTTGGTTCAGTTCTTGTACTCAAAGCACCCCTAATCTCATTCTCTGCATTTAATTTCACATCAACTATTTGATATCTACAGTATCTGTATTTTTATTAATGAATCCTACTGCTGGTGTGTACAGTACAGTTGAACCTGCTTATCTCGACCTCGGTTAACTCGCCAACCCTGTTATGTCGACATTTTTGAAGTGGAACCGCCAAATTCTCGCCTTCTTTTGTCTTAGCATTTTCTCCTCCTTTATCTCGATCATCGGTTATCTAGACGCTTTTTGGCAAACCCTCAGGCCATCGACATAACCTAGTTCTACTGTATCTGTATTTGTCTGGATGAATCCTACTGTTGGTACCTACAGTATCTGTATTTGTCTGGATGAATCCTGCTGCAGCTATCTAAAGTATCTGTATTTGTCTGGATGAATCCAACAGCCGGTATCTACAGTATCTATATTTATCTGGATAAATCCTACTGCAGAGCTGTCACATTACTTTAGAAGGCCCCCGTTTAATTTTTTGGTTCTGTGCCCCCTGTAGTCACAAAAGTCAATCAGTGTTATGAAAGCAAAAGCTGATAGTTCAAATATTTTTCCACATCACAATGCCATCATTGTTGGGCCCCTTATTCTCATTCACAGAGTCAAGGCGATCCAAACATTGAAAATGATATTGAAATTCCCAGTTTCAGTGTTTCAAGATACCTCAGAATACCTATCATTCAGAATAGTTTTACACTTTTTAAATTCCATCTGCTTTAACTTCCATAAGTCATTCCAATAGCTGAAGACTAGTGTAGGCAATTTCTTCAACTATTTTTTTTTCCAACAGAAATGTAGGGATGAGATTTCATTATAAAGAAGCAGTTAATATACAAGGCTTTAATCAACATTAAAATTTTATAAATATGCACACATATTCTGTATCATTTGTCAGACTGGATGCTTATTATATTATTAAATACAATGAAATTTTGATAAACTTCGATAAAGAATAATTTTTAATGATACAAACAATATTTACCTTAAACAAAATTAAATTGGTCCAAACCAAATTCAGCAGACTAAAAAGGTCCATTCCGCCATATGTGTGGGTTGACAATAGGGTTGCCCACCAAGGGCTTTCAACATTTCACATGAGATACAAAAAAAGCTTTGCGAACAAGAATTTTAAAATTAAATTAACATAAAAACACACAGGAGAAATCAATTGAACCTAGAAGTATGAGTATCATTTTTGAGTACTGTATCTAAATTGTTCGGATACAAAAACGTTACACTTGTACTTGTAAAGTGATCTTGATATACCCGTTAGTTTAAAAAATGAAACATCATTTCTCCTAAACCTGAAGTGATTATGTCGTCAAAGTAGTCTTCTCGCTCCATAATTATTCATTTATTTTATTGCTTTTATTTCATTTTTTTATTCTATTCTTTATAATTGGTCCTATATTAGGCCTAATCTTCTGAATTGTAATTGTCCGATTGTCTCCCATTGAAAACAAGGTAACATTACCATTGAGAAACATATTTTGGGGTAATAGCTAAAAAATCTCCCCTCCCTTGGTTTACTCAAACACAGCAGAGGTCCCAGGACTCCAACCTGCTCATAAAGATCAGACCAACTGATTCCTATAATTTACCCATTATTTTTAGGGCTTTCATCATTCAAATACCATCTTCTATAACATACAACAGACATTTAACTAATTGTACTAGAACTAAACAAAACTATCTTCATTTTAGAACCTGGTGGCTGATAGGTGTTTCTCTTTTTTTTGTAACACTTAATCATCCAGATGACAGCAAAGAATCACTTAATCATCCAGATCAGTGGTTCCCAAACTTTTAAGTTTGGCTGACCGGTGAACAAGTTTTGAAATTTTACCAGGGACCGTTGCATGATTTATTTTTATACATTTATTTCTATTTGACAATAATATTTATGTTAAGGGGACTGGCATACAGACCGGTGAAGGTCCACGGACCGCCATTTGGGGACCCAGATGACAGCAAATAAGCGCTAACTCATTAATTTATTTCAAATTCTTTAATGAATAATTGGAAGAACAAATATTTTTGAATGCCTATGTTTTTGTATTACTAGTTTAAAAAAATGGGTAGAATCATATATTCATTTATTGAACTTAGACTAATAAAATGAACTGTATGTAAAAGTGGACTAATAAAAAAAAAAATATGTACAAATTAGACTAATGTAAAAACTGTACATACAATTAACTAATTTAAAAACTGTAGGTACAGTTAGACTAATATAAAAACTGTACATTCAGTTAGACTAATATAACAACTGTACACACAATTAGACTAATGTAAAAACTGTACATACAATAAGACTAATATAAAAACAGTAGGTACAGTTCTATGAAAAAAATCACAATGGTGCATTTAAAGTTAATTTTATAAAATGGCTGCTTCTCCTGGGTCATCACTTGTAAAAGTTGTATTTCTAATTTTTTGTTTTTCAACTCAAAATAAATTTTAACTGAATTTTTTGTTGCCTGAGGAAGGCTTAAGCAAACTATTTGTTGTTTTAATGTACATATTATTCCAGCTGTCGTCACATTAAGCTTGTTATTTCATGTCATGAAAAGAAAATATCAGTATTTATAAAATTCCGCCTTTTGGTGGCTATCATTATTATTTAAATTGATGGCTTGTTTTTTTTCTACTTCGCTCCATTTGTTACACCCAAAATTTCTATTTCACTGGGTCGGAATAAAAGATAAACTTAAATACACTGAATGTTTAGTTACACCATCTCACAATGAGTAGTAATTGATGGTCAAATAAAAGATTAAACTTAAATTCACTGAATGTTTAGTTACACCATCTCATAAAAATATTAATAATGAGTATTAATTGATGGTCAAATAAAATTATGTCTTGCCCCTAAAATTTTGAAAATTGAGACATATGTGAGATGGCATTCTGAGATGGAGTGGATTAGCAAGCAAGAATTATTTAATTTAATACAAAAATATATTTATCAATTATTTTTGTTAAGTTTTCCTAAAACAAATTCCCAATCACGCCATATAAAACTTTCACATTACATACTCGTAATGCATTTTAATATAATATTGATTTTATAATTTATATCATAATCATTTATAAGTTTTATATATAATAGTACACATAAGTAAAATGTTGGTCAAGAAATTTTTTCATAAAATATTTTATTTACCTTCTTTAAAAACAAGATATTTACCCAAACCTCCAGAGCCCATCATAGATATTAAAATATCCAGTTTTATTTCCACAAGTTTGTTGTGTGTCAGACTGTTGACATCTCTCACAAAAACTGTTGATGACTTAATCACTTGTATTAAGATTTCACTAAATATTTCATCATGTCAGTCTACAGCCCTCATCGTTGCTGGTTTATCTTGCAGGCTAGAGACAAGACTGAACTCTCACTGGAGAGATTGAAGGTGGAGAGCAGCTCCCTTGTGTTGGAGAATGAACAGCAACGACAGTGGTACGAGAAATGTCTTGATGGGATAGCCAATCTGGAGATTCAAGCCTTGTTGAAATGTCTTGATGGGATAGCCAATCTGGAGATTCAAGCCTTGTTGAAATGTCTTGATGGGATAGCCAATCTGGAGATTCAAGCCTTGTTGGAATGTCTTGATGGGATAGCCAATCTGGAGATTCAAGCCTTGTTGGAATGTCTTGATGGGATAGCCAATCTGGAGATTCAAGCCTTGTTGGAATGTCTTGATGGGATAGCCAATCTGGAGATTCAAGCCTTGTTGGAATGTCTTGATGGGATAGCCAATCTGGAGATTCAAGCCTTGTTGGAATGTCTTGATGGGATAGCCAATCTGGAGATTCAAGCCTTGTTGGAATGTCTTGATGGGATAGCCAATCTGGAGATTCAAGCCTTGTTGGAATGTCTTGATGGGATAGCCAATCTGGAGATTCAAGCCTTGTTGGAATGTCTTGATGGGATAGCCAATCTGGAGATTCAAGCCTTGTTGGAATGTCTTGATGGGATAGCCAATCTGGAGATTCAAGCCTTGTTGGAATGTCTTGATGGGATAGCCAATCTGGAGATTCAAGCCTTGTTGGAATGTCTTGATGGGATAGCCAATCTGGAGATTCAAGCCTTGTTGGAATGTCTTGATGGGATAGCCAATCTGGAGATTCAAGCCTTGTTGGAATGTCTTGATGGGATAGCCAATCTGGAGATTCAAGCCTTGTTGAAATGTCTTGATGGGATAGCCAATCTGGAGATTCAAGCCTTGTTGGAATGTCTTGATGGGATAGCCAATCTGGAGATTCAAGCCTTGTTGGAATGTCTTGATGGGATAGCCAATCTGGAGATTCAGGCCTTGTTGGAATGTCTTGATGGGATAGCCAATCTGGAGATTCAAGCCTTGTTGGAATGTCTTGATGGGATAGCCAATCTGGAGATTCAAGCCTTGTTGGCTAAAAGGTAGCCATCTTAAAAATGCTTGTTTCTGTACCTCATATGTAGACCTGCTTGTTGGCTAAAAGGTAGCCATCTTAAAAATGCTTGTTTCTGTACCTCATATGTAGACCTGCTTGTTGGTTTAATACATTTAATAAAGTATGTGATTTATTTATTGCTTATAATATTATAATATCAATATATTATTTTTCATTAAATACCAGTATTCAATTAAAATTTGTCTTTTAACAATATAAAATGTAATAAATACTGTACTTTAAAATGTGTGTAAATATATGAAATGGTTTATTATTTATTGCAATCAATATTTGTAAAGATTGCTTAATATCTGTATGTGGGCTCTTGTCTGAAGTAGACTCTAATATTGTTCATGGACAAGAATGTATCATGTTAGTTCTTCTTAAATTTTTGACATATTTAAAAAAAAAATGCTATAAATATTTTATGCTGTTTTTTTAAACCTTTATTAATATTCTGAAATTTGTATTGCTTTTAAATTGTTTTCTAGATTCAACTATAGAATAAACTTAAATGCTACCCAACTGGATGACCCAGCATTAGCCACTGTTAGATTAGATGACACAGCATTAGCCACAGTTTGATTGGATGACTCAGCATTAGCCACAATTTGATTGGATGAGCCAGCATTAGCCACTGTTTGATTGGATGACACAGCATTAGCCACTGTTTGATCCAAGAATTGATCACCCAGCACCAACCATTGTTATCAAGAGATAAACAAAACTGTCCAGCTGCGGTTAGCTCCATTTTTGTTTATTTTGAATAACAATCAGGGTTAAAATGAATATAAATCTTTACTCAAAATAAATTGTTTACTATTTAAAAAAACAAAAACTAATTTCAAGTGTAAAATTAAAATATGAAAAGTTCAACATTAATGCTCTATCCAGAAAAATGTTAAAGTAGGCTTCAATCCAAAATTGTTTACCATATAACTTCAGCTGCGCTGCTTATAGAATTCTATAATAGTAAAATAAATATTCAAATTTAAGTTATAAACAGGCTAATTAAGTGTTAATGTAAATGCATACTCTGATCTAAAATATAATTAATTTTTTTAACCTGCAGAATGTCTATCTCAGAAAGACCAAGTACATGATCATTGGAGGGACTTATTGGATTCTGAGGGACACACTACATGATCATTGGAGGAACTCATTGTTGTCTGAGGGACTAAGTACATCTTGGAGTCAAGATTAGGAGCTCATTGACACCAAATATAGGAAATGAGTAAAACAAAGTATGTGAAAACCTGAAAAATAAATGCATCAAAACAACAAACTTGACGTCCGCGAAGAAACAACATAAAAAACAGAATTTCCTTTTTTGCTAACCTGATTACAGTCTCTTCCCATTATTACCATTGACACCAAATAATTGCATTCATCACATTTGACAGTGCTAGATATATTTAAATATGATTATTACACTAATTCAGTGGTTCTCAACCTGTGGATTGGGACACCCTAAGGCAGTGCTGTCCAACCTTTTTGACTGTCTTGGAAGTGGGACAAAAAAAAAATT